CTTCACACAAACACTAAAAGGAACAATCCCACGGAAAATGTTGAGAAAGTATTCAGCACCAAGTCGAAGCCACCTTGTCCTATCTGCAAAGATGAGATGCACGGCGTCGTAAAGTTCCCTACATTTGCAGCAAAATCTCTGGAAGATAAGAAAGCCTTCATACGAGAAAACAATTTGTGCTACGGATGTTTGAGAAAGGGACATAACAGTAAGGATTGCAAAACGCGACACACTTGTGTCATATGCAGCAGACGTCACCCCACCTGTCTACACGAAGAGAGAGAGAACCGATCTGTGGAAGCAAAAGAGAAACAGTCCACTTCCACAGATAAAGACGTTAGTCAGGAAGAGATCAAAGTGACGTCCCATGCAGTGACGCAGCGCGTCTTTGCCACATCAAGCATTGTCCCTGTTTTCATGTCATCTGCAAATGAACCACAGAAAGAAGTTATAACGTACGCTCTTCTAGACACGCAGAGTGATTCGACATTCGTCTTGGAAGACCTACTCGAAGAGCTGAACGTGGAGACAAAACCAGTACAGCTTAACCTGAGCACCATGACAGCTGTTGACACACCCATAGCAAGCAAAAGTGTCTGCGGTCTACAAGTTCGAGGACTACAGTCTGGAAAACAGATTCAGCTGCGCCAAGCCTATACTCGTGGTTTCATCCCGGTCGACAAGTCCTACATTCCGAAACAGCGCTGCTCTGGCCTCATCTAAAGCATCTAGCAAACAAACTTCCACTGCTGAAGGACTGTGAGGTGGGACTGTTAATTGGAAATGATTGCCCGTTGGCGCTAGCCCCCCAGGAAGTCATCATAGGAGGCGAAAATGATCCATTCGCCCAGAGAACGGAACTCGGCTGGAGCATCGTAGGCTCATCCAATCCACATCTGGATCGCCAGGGAAACCAGAGGTTCGTCCATCGAGTGACAGTGAAGGAAATACCAGCGCCATCAACCAATGACGTGCTGAAGGTCTTGGAATCAGACTTCAATGAAAGGAAGTATGCAGATAAAGACAGGTATGTGTCACAAGACGACGTTCGCTTCATTCAGCTCCTGAGTGACAACATAACTCAAAGGAAAGATGGACACTATGAAATGCCCCTTCCTTTCAAGAGCACAGAGCCACCTCTGCTACCAGACAACAAGAAGCTGGCAACAGTTCGACTGCAGCACCTAAAGAAAATATTTAAAAATAACGAGCGGTATGAAGAACAGTACAAAGCCTTCATGAAGGATATGATAAAGAAAGGCGACGCAGAGCCAGCCTCTCCTGCGACAGAACAGCAGACTACGTGGTACATACCACACCATGGGGTGTTCCACCCCAAGAAGCCAGAGAAGCTAAGGGTCGTCTTTGACTGTTCAGCGAAGTTCTGTGGTGTCTCACTAAATGATACATTGCTAACAGGTCCTGACCTGATCAACTCTCTCCTTGGAGTGCTCTGTCGTTTCAGGAAAGAGGCTGTAGCCATCATATGCGACATCGAGAAAATGTTCCATCAGCTTTACGTTTCTCCTGAATTACGGAACTACTTACGGTTTCTCTGGTGGGAGGATGGAAACCTCGAAGCAGAGCCTCAAGAGTATCAAATGGCTGTCCACCTATTCGGTGCCGCTTTGTCACCCGGATGTGCCAACTTTGGCCTGAAGTACTTGGCACATCAACACAAGGAAGAGTATCCATCAGCATCAGCCTTTGTTGAAGAACTTCTACGTCGATGATGGGCTTATCAGCGTCCCCTCCGTAGAAGAAGCAAAGGAGTTAATTGCTGAAGCACAAGAGTTGTGCAAGAAAGGAGGTTTGCGTCTACACAAGTTCAACTCAAACGAAAGATCAGTTCTGGACTCTGTGGACCCAACTGAGAGAGCAGTCACATCTGAACCCCTAAATCTGGACCTAAATGCAGCTCCAGCAGAACGTGCTCTTGGTGTCCAGTGGTCCCTTGAACACGACACCTTCAGCTTTAATGTAAACCCACAACCCAGGCCATCCACACGTAGTGGAATCCTATCCGTCATTGCTTCTTTGTACGATCCAGTCGGATTCGTGGCTCCGTTTATCTTAACTGGAAAGTGCATCCTCCAGGAACTGTGTCGTCGAGGCATTGACTGGGATGACCCACTTCCCGAAGACTTAAGTCCACGGTGGGAGAGTTGGAAGAGCGACCTACAAAGGCTGAAGGAAGTCTCAATACCGAGATGCTTCCAACCACAAGGCTTCTGCAAAACTGTCACAAGGGAACTGCACCACTTTTCCGATGCCAGCAATATAGGATATGGCTCGTGTTCCTATCTGAGAAGCAAAAATGAAGATGGTGAAGTTCACTGCAGCCTCGTGATGGCAAAGGCTAGAGTTGCGCCTACAAAACTCACAAGCATTCCAAGATTGGAACTTTCAGCAGCAGTGGTCGCTGCAAGATCAAGTGTCATGCTGAGAAACGAGCTTGAAATGCCGATCCATGCAGAATTCTTCTGGACTGACTCCCAAGTTGTCCTGGCTTATATCAGTAATGAAGCAAGAAGGTTCCATGTCTTCGTTGCCAATTGTGTGCAAATGATCAGAGAGCACACCAGCCCCAGCCAATGGCACTACATAGACACAACAGAAAACCCTGCTGACCATGCGTCGAGAGGTCTAAACGCAGTGGACATCTCCTCAACAAACTGGCTATCAGGACCCAAGTTCCTGTGGGAACAAGAAATACATCCAGAGTCTCGCCTCACTCCTGAGTTGCTTGTCGGTGATCCTGAGATCAGGTCAATGCAGGCATTCACAACTAAGGTTGAACCTTCAGTCAGACTTTCTTACCCGTCTAAATCGATTCTCCTCCTGGTCAAAACTCCTGAAAGTCATTGCAAGAATCAAGAGGCTGAACTCAAAGCAAAATCATCCTGGCAAACCTGTGAGTGTAGAAGAACGCGAAAAAGCTGCCAAATCGGTAGTGAAGCTTGTACAAGAAGAAGCATTCTCCCAAGAGATGGAGATACTTCAAAAGGGAAAAAGTCTTCAAAACTCCAGCCCTCTGTTTCGCTTGAATCCCATCTTAGAAGGAGGAGCACTTCGTGTTGGTGGAAGACTGGATCAGTCATCCTTAAGCCTAGAGGTCAAACACCCTTTGATTCTACCCAAAGGAGAACATATTACCAAGTTGATTTTGACCCACTGCCACGAGAGGATCTGTCACCAAGGACGTAATCAAACTCTAACAGAACTTCGAGCCAATGGGTTTTGGGTCATTGGTGGAAGTAATTCAGTTGCTAAGCTGATACACAGATGTGTGAAGTGCAGAAGACTCAGACGGCCTGTAGAAGAACAACGCATGGCAGAGCTTCCTAAGGAACGTGTGGAAGTCTCTGCTCCCTTCACATACTGTGGCATCGATTGCTTCGGCCCATTCATCACTAAGAATGAGATTTTATGTGACTTTTATTTTGACATCATGTTATCTGCTCACGTAATTAATCGCTCGCGCTCATGCTCACGCTCACATCTGTTTAATAGAAGACACGAGAAGCTAGCTAGCAACTTAATACATTAAGCTAATGGCGGCGGACTTCCCTGGATTACCACTTTATAGCACCCTTTGATATGCGGAGCGAGGTATGTGGTTCATTGTAATTGTATTTCATGTAAATTCATTTTATATAATGACTGTTGCCTGCTATGCTGTTATCCATGTATGCTAAAGTGCATTTGTCAAAGGATTATTTTGTATCTGGCTAAATTGCCTTTGTTATTTCCCTTTTTAGTTTTCATGGTGTTGGTGTTGGTGCTATGCACACTCATCTGAATTAAAGTACACCCGTCTGGAAACACTCCCAAGCCTGTTTATTCCAAGTTGAAGGGATGCTACAGTTTCCATATGCCGCTTTAATTTCGACGGCTTCGGTGCTTCGTTGTTGGTCCAAACTCCACACTGGGCTCTCTCCTTATACACCTCCTTATTACCTCCGTTTATACATCCGTACTTAATGAAGTCAGGATTGTATTGTTGGGCACCACCTTCCTCTTCATTTTTTATTTTAAATTTCTAATGACTTTCACTTACAGACCAGCTTGGCGGCTGTCGGTCTTTTTTCTGCTTATTGGAGCTGTTTAAACAACTGACGGACGCGTTACCGCCACCAAGTGGTGGGAAGCAAAAGAGCGTCTCATGGATAAATAACGTCAATATCTCCGGTCTCTTCAATTTGTACCCTATGGTTAACAATCACTGAAAATATACAATATGTTTGATTCATAATAGAGAAATTATTCTGCTATTCAACCACACAAACTATGATTTTACCACTGGTCCTGATCACACTATCACACCTGTATGTCAAGTGTCTCCACGTTTGTTTTCGTGACTTCCTGTTTTATTTTGGAAATTAACTCTCTTTTCAGGTTCCTTGCTCTTCCTGATGTGTCACCAGACTGGTTGTCTGCCCTGATTCCTGATTGTGTCCACCTGTTCCCGCTTCCCCCATGTGTTCATATAGTCTGCGTCTCCCTTTGTCTTGTGCCAGTGTGTCGTCCTACGTCGTCATACCAGCCAGTGTCCAAGATCAATAGTTTCTCTAGTCTTGTGACCACAGTTTTACCTCGTTCGAGTGATTTTTCTTTGTAGCTCTTTTTTGTTCCAGTGTCAGGTCTCAGTTAGGTTTAGATAAGTAGCTTTGTTTTCCTCCTTTTGGAGTGACCTTATTTTTGGATCTATTAGTACTCTGTACTATGAATAAACTGTCATACTATACACCTGCTCTGCGTCTCAGTCCCGCTCGGTTCTGACACACACATGTTATAGTTTCAAACGCTATAGGCGTGCTTTTCTGCTTGAATTAAACGTGCATCAAATGTGTTCAATGATTGACTTTGTAGGAGTCCCTCTGGAGTCTTTCTATTGGCAACGCAAAGTCTTTATTGGAGCTTCTATGAGGTCTGAAGCCATGGCGGCTGCTGAGCATCACCTGACCTTCTACTGCTAAAGCCCCTTCTTCATTCTCCAGGCAAGGTGATCATGCACGACCCCTTCGCCATGCGGCCGTTCTTCGGTTACAACTTCGGCGACTACCTCGCTCACTGACTGAGCATGCAGACCCGAAAGGCCCCCACTCACCTGCCCAAGATCTTCCACGTAAACTGGTTCAGGAAGAACCCGGCAAACGGCGCCTTCCTGTGGCCCGGGTTCGGCGAGAACGCGCGCGCCCTGGAGTGGATCTTCAAGCGCTGCGGCCGGGAGAGGGAGGAGGAGGCGGCCAAGAGGAGCATCATCGGCTGGCTGCCAGAGGATGGCGCCATCGACACCAAAGGTCTGGGCAGCGATGTGGATATGGGGGCCCTGTTCGACGTGCCCAGGTCTTTCTGGCAGAAGGAGACGAAGGAGTTGAGAGCCTACTTCTCCCAACAAGTTGGAGCCGATCTACCTGCTCAGGTGGAGGCGGAGCTACACACACACACACACACACACACACACACAGCTTAGATCCCTAATCACACTTATTGGTTTTATTCATGTAAACATGAACCCTGAGTCCTGAGGACCAGGTTGGGATTTGGCTTAGAAACATCTGACCCCTATTTGGTTTTTACAAGAAGTTTGTGAACTGAAATGCAGGTTTTAGAGAGTTCTAGTACTCGCTGCTCAGTCAAAGATGGTTTGTGTCAGTATTTTAATTGTTTGAATTTCAATGATCTGATAAATGAAAAGCTCCATTCAAATAAAATAAAAACAATAGCCAGGCCAGTAATTGTTAACTTTGTGTGTGTAAAATAATCTCAACCAGTGACTCTCATCTTTCTCTTTTATGAAGGGAAATCTGTTAGGAATAGAAATGTCAGAGATAAAAAGTCTACAATGCAGCAACTTTGGACGTGACTTTCCACTAATGGATGCCGGTGGGAGGAGGGAGGTTTGTCCCAACATGAAGGTCAGATTTCTCAGACGTTGAACATAAAGAAGCTAATGTCACTAAAACACAATCAACACAACCTTGTTGTGCCTTTGAGATGTTAAACAACTCAACTGTTGGGCTTCTAATGTTTTCATGCTGAAACCCAAAGATTATCTTTTGAGAAAAGTCACACAGTTTTAACCTTTTTTTAAAGTGTATTTTAGCACCAGATATTTTATTATACAATTGACTGAGTTTCAGGAAAGGCCCTTTCTATTTCTCGTTAAGCTTTGCATTCAAATAAATTAATAAAAAGACCATCAAGTGGGAATTGTTGTGCATAATTCATTCTGACACTTGTGTAATGTTTGTGATTTAAGCTGTATGATGTTTGCACACAATATTTGAAATTATGGACCAATAAATGCAACAGAGATTAAGTCGTGTATATGTTTTTTATTACGTTGCAATTAATACATATCTTGAAATTCAGTAAATTGTCTTTTGAAGAAGACGAAATAGAACAATAAAACATTAATCAAAAAGATAACTAAATGAGTTTTGAAGACACCTTTTAAAATATGCAACAAAGAAAAAACCATAAGCTGATATATTAACAGGGCTTTCTTTGAGAATACTTATACATACTTACTCTATTTAGAGCAGTGGGACTATTATTTATACTAATCGTGAATACCTCAATATGTCAACAATGTATAAAATTGCAGGGTGCTGCAGGATGTGGAGGTTTGAAGTTCCCCTTTAATTAACTGTGAGCAGTGAAGATTACATTTTCTTACGATTCTTTTTCTCCATAAACTGACAGATGAAGCTTGTTATTTATGTAAAAAGCATCTTAACAATAAAACCCAAAAGTGACGACAAGAAACGGCTCATTTTCTCTTCATTTGAGCGTAGAGATCCTCTGGGACGCCAGCAGTCCGTGTGACGTTGTCTGCTGCCTTGGACACTTTGACCTGCGCATACAGCGTGTCCTCCTGCTGTCCACCGTCCTGCTCCGAGACCGAGGACGGTCCAGATCTGAGCCCCGAGAAGTTAATCTCTCCATAGTGGACGCCTTCTTCTTCTGTTGTCACTGTCTCTCCACAGGCTGATTCTGCTTGAAAGAATAAATGAAGCAAACAGGAAGTGATCGTGAAAGCGCTTGCTTCCAAATAACAAAACCACACTGAGTTGTTTGGTGTGTTCTCACCTGACTCTGATGTGCAGTTGGATGTGGAGACTTCTAACGCCTGGAGATAAATGTTGGGTCTAATACACAGAGTACCAAAATTAGACCACATTTCATTGAATACGCATTCTTTACTGATGCTACTGACCAAACAAAGACAACCAGGCCGATGAGCACGATGATCCCAATGATTCCTCCAAGAACTGCACCCAATAGTGGATAATTAACTGCACCTCAGGACA